AAAGAGGAGATGAGTTATGAATTTCATCTAACTTCTGGATGTAACTTGGATAATATCAACGGTTTGAATAGGGATAATATTGATCCTGCATCTTGTAGTGACTCTATTTCTTGCTGGTCACTTTGGGGCTTTTTAGTTACAAAATGATTGTTCTGTTTTGTTCAATCACCAAATTAGCAATATCAATGTAATTTAATCAACAGAATTCATACAAGACATTGTATTGGTTTTTTGCAGATGGACGTAACCTGGACAAGCGGCTATACATTGATGAAGCTGTTTCCTTTTGTTGAGTGGGGTTTTAAGGGAGAACATCAACACTCAGTCACAGCTGGAAACATGACGGTTCATCGAAACAGCATGTGTGGTATGATCAATCTCCTCATCTAATTATGTCAGTCTGATATTTTATCATCAAAGGGTTCATGCTGAGAAGGGCAATTTCATCAGGTTTGGCCTCATTAATAATATCATGCCATGTATTATAGTATGTTCTCATCAACCTTTTGAAAAGTAGTCTTGTTGGCTTTGTACCATGAAAATAAATCAGATGATTCAGGGGTGGCAGGCATAACACACACTGTGTTGTGGATGAGCCAAAAAATAGAATAGGCTGGAACAGCATCAGCATTTTTTCCCTCCAAAAATCTAGGATCAAAGGTGTTTCAGAAAAATAACTTGGAAACAGGACAATTTTTACATTCCAATTTTTTGAAAGAAATCAGTTTTGCGTTGACAATTTAACCAAACCTTTAGAAACTTGGATACATTTAGGAAGGTGAGATAGAATTTGACTGGAATTGTGTAGGGCTTGAAATTTGAAACTGGGAATATTTGTGCAAAATTTTTTAAACTTGGACAAAATCAAATAAACAAATAAAAGTAACTATCACCCAAAAAACATGTGAACTGGAAACTATCTGACAATTACCAAAAAAACAGAAACTACATGACAAAGTTATCTTATCAATACGCAGGTTCACCAGCACGTACAGTGGGCTGGCGTGATCCTGGTTTCATTCACACAAGTTTCTTAAAAGAATTGTGGCCAAACTCAGTGTATGCATCACAAGAATCAATTTCATATTATCAAGTTGCTAAGAAGCATGACTATTGTTCTTAGGGCTGTCATTTGTGCAGGTACACTTACAAGCTCGGTCATAGGTTGTTTAATGGTTCCTATATTTGGAGCAAGGTCTACTCTTTCAAGTCTTCACCATATCCAGGGCAGGACTCACTTCAACGTATTATAGTATTTGGCGACATGGGAAAGGTAATATCATCAAAGTGGAAAGATCTAAGCACTATCATGGTTTTCCATTACCAATTTTACTTTTCTCTTTAGTTTTAATTTCTTCTTCAATGAATAGGCTGCTCCCGTGCTTTCATTCAAGACATCTTTAAAAGCTATTGTACTTTTCATATTCTTAGGATGTGTTTTTTTTCCTTTCCTTATCTTTTTTCTCAACAAATCTAGGATCCAAACACAACCTTAATTTTGTAATCTTTCTGATTTTTTTGATCATGGAATCTTGGAATATGAAGAACCAAGTGATAATTATGCTTTGGTTGACTCCTATAGTGGAATTAAGTAAGGAGAACACCAGAGGATTTTTCTGTGTTTTAATATTTAATTAATTAAACAAAAGTAACTTTTTGTTGCAAATGATATTTTGAAGGATTAGTTATGCGTTTATTCTTCTTTACTCTCAAACTATTTGTTCTATTGCTCACCATTATCAAATAAGTAACAATTTTGGAGAAAATGTTGGGTGGTTGATGCATTATTGAGGTAGATATAAATTCCTATTCTATGGCATACCATACTCGTAAATGTTTTTATGTTTCTTTCACATATTTCAGGCAGAACGTGATGGTTCAAATGAATACAGTAACTATCAACCTGGTTCACTTAACACAACAGATCAGCTAATCAAGGACTTGGATAACTTCGACATAGTCTTCCATATAGGAGATCTCCCATATGCAAATGGATATATCTCACAATGGGATCAGTTCACATCAATGGTGGAGCCCATTGCATCAACTGTGCCATATATGATTGCGAGGTTTGCATCTTGTTATGTGCTTTGTTGCCATGCATATTTTGTTTTCTCTATATATTGATAAATTTACCATGCCCACTATATAGTTTATGTGTTTTACTTCTCTTTCAGTGGAAATCATGAACGTGACACACCAGGGACAGGGTCCTTCTATGACACTAATGATTCGGGAGGTGAATGTGGTGTGCTAGCTGAGACCATGTTTTATGTTCCCGCTGATGAGAACAGAGCTAAGTTCTGGTAAGTTGGATAAATGATATGAATTTATCATATAAGACTTCTAGATAGAGGAAAGGAAATATTAGGTACTGGTCCTTAAGATAGCGAGTTCAATGTCCCGGGGATTATCAAGGGTTTTGCAAAACAGAATTTAAAGTGAGGGTATTTGCAAAACAAAATTTCGATGTCCTGGACATTATAAGAAAGAAATGTCAGTGATCAAATCAGTAAATTGCCTGTTGCAGGTTCTTCATTTTTTGCTTCTATTTCTTTTTCTTTTTCTTTTTTATATTTTTTCCCCTGTTGGGACAGGATTTTATACTGTTTTGAAAATCTCAGTGGAATTGAAAGAACAAAAAACTCACATTTTTAAAAGAAGAAAAATAGTTTGGGTACTTTATCTTGTGTTTGGTTTGACGTCTTATACTGCAATTTTAGTAAAGTCAACCTTGTACTGCAATTTTAGTAAAGTCAAGGCGAGTATTCGCAGGCCAACAATAGGCATTTAAATCTTGCTGAATGAAAATCCACCCGAAAATGAGAGCTAGTTGCTGTTACTCCCAATAGTGACATGATTATTAGGACTTCAAAATTCCGTAGCGTAATGGAGATGACACAACATTTATGATAGCTGCTGGCAATGTTGAATGGATTAGATAAGTTCTTAGTAGCAAATTTCAAACTCTTCAAAGTTCAGAGAAGGATTAGACATTCAAGAGAAAGAACCACCGGTGTACTTCAAACCGTACCTATTGGAGGTGTTATTGCTAACATTAATTTTTGGTCTGTCCAGCCAAATTGTAATATTGACTTTCACCTTTAGTAATTGTTTTTTTTAATACCATGCTGGCATTTCCTAACTCCCTCTAAAAGTGTTTTTGATTATTATTCTTTTTTTCAGGTATTCAACAGATTATGGCATGTTCCACTTCTGTATAGCTGACACTGAACATGATTGGAGGGAGGGTACTGAGCAGTACAAGTTCATTGAGCATTGCCTTGCATCAGCAGACAGGCAAAAACAGCCGTGGTTGATCTTTGCTGCTCACCGTGTTCTTGGGTATTCTTCTGACAAATATTATGCCTTGGAGGGCTCATTTGAAGAGCCCATGGGAAGGGAAAGCTTGCAGAAGCTTTGGCAGAAATACAAGGTGGACATTGCATTTTATGGCCATGTTCACAACTATGAGAGGATATGCCCCATTTACCAGGTACCCAAAAAAAAATTCATTAAAGATAATCTTGGTATTTTTAACCGTCTATGATATTCTTTGAACACTTGAACAGACACAATTTCCTGCACAGATTATAGTGTACATGTTTGAACTTCCTTCCACTGTTCGACATGCATGCTAATAAGCATAGACACTAATAGGGGCAGAATGAGAAATTATGTCTAAGGGGGGGCGAGTTAGTTGCTTAAAAATAAAAATTAAAAATTAAAAAATGGAGACTTACGTGTAGGTCCTAATAGGTGGACTTATTGTCTAATTAATGGCGTTTTCCATCAAATACTATTAAAAAATATCACTAATTGTTAATTTCAGCGATAATTTAAAAATTGTCATAAAAAATGTCAATAATTATAAGTTTTAGAGTTTAAAAAAATCGTCACAAAAAAAGGTCACTAATTTTGAACTTTCAACAACTGTTTGAAAATTTTGTCATAGAAAAATGTTACCAATTGTAAATTTTAGTGACAATTTATAAAAACTGTGATAAAAAAAAAAGTCACTAATTGTCAACTCTTAGTGACATATGCAAAAAAATTGTCACAAAATTATTTTTAGCGACGATTTTATTAAGATTTATTTTTAATAGGATTTCAGGGGAATTAAGTAAACTGTTAGGATCTATTGGTAATTTACCTAAAAAAAATTACTAATAGAAAACAAGTTCTTACATAAGGGTTGTGAAAAAAAAAAAAAAAATCATTTCCTATAGTTGTATACTATTAATGAAGTCATTTTGTTGGTCAACAATTATTTTTAAAATAAACACAAAAACAAAAAGAAGTGACAAACACTTATTCTGTATAAGGGTGAGCAGCGGATATATCGATCCGTCGAAACCGACCGAGCCAAACCAATCCGCCGCATTTTGGACGGATGCGTGATGAGGAGCGGACGGTTGCGGATTGATTTTTTCCAATCCGCCAATCTAATGAATGGATGGCGGATTTGAGATTCCTTTGGCTGCAACCGAACTGCCAAACCGCGAACATCCCTAGTAATTTATAAGACTTTGTGTTTTCAGTTTGTTTAAATATTTTGTTTGTGTTTTTAATTAAAAAAGAGTTTAAATATTTTGTTGAAAAAAAAATTTCAACTTGAATATCTTTTTTGAATTGAAAAAAATAAACGTATTATTTATCTATATTTTTTGGTTTTTAAATCTATTTCTAAAAATAATAAATATAAAATATGATATATGCTGGTTGATTTTTGTTTTCAAAAACAGATATAGATGTAACAATAAATAGAAAATATGATATATGCTGGTTGATTTTTGTTTTCAAAAACAGATATAGATATAACAATACAGAGACATACAATCTCTACTACTGCTCTGTTCATAGTTTGGTTGTTTGAATTGTATTTATATTTTAAGAACCACAGATTGTAATACTTTATGTGGATGAGGCATGCTGTGATTGTAGTATGTGGATGAGGCATGCAGTGATTCTGATATTCTAAAGTTTCAAACTTTCTTGCTTTGGATGAGCATGCAGTGATTGTAATATTTTTTTAAGTCATTAACTGTAATACTCTTTTTTTTTTTTTAATGAAGTACACAAGTTGAATTATGTTGAAAATTTGTAAAATTTTAAAGCGCCAAACCGATTCGCATCCATCCGCCAAACCGCCAAACCGCTCAATCCACATCCGTCAGATTGGCGGACGGATGCGGATTGATTTTCTCCAATCCGCCAAGCTAGCAGACGGATGACGGATTGGAGGTTCCGTGGCCGCAACCGACCCACGCCCACCCCTAATTCTGTAAATAAAATTGAGTAGATCATATTGACAAGTAGCATATGAAATAGTTGGATATCATCTCATTATACATTGTGAAAAATTAATGAAATATAAAGGGCTTTTTTTAATAAAATAAAATAAAAAATAGCTAGAATGAAATATAGTTAGTAAAATGTGTTTAAAAAAAAAAATCAAGAGATAATCTTATTATACATTTTACAAATACTCATGAATATAGAGTTAATAATGTAATTTTCCCACTATAGCTCTACCATTGGACATGAACACGCTAACACGGGAATTTTGAAAAAAATTCAGGACACAACGCGTGTAGAACACGTGCAAAATATATGATTTTATCTTTTTTAATATGTAAATATTTTATTCAAATTTAATAGAAGTATACAACATAACATGAATTTCTGAAGTTAGAATTAATAACTATAAATATATATTATTTTTCTTTATTAATCATATACTAAGTTATTTTAAACTTATAATGTGTTTTATGTATGTCTATGTAATGAATGTGTGTGCCCAACGTGTCTGAAATATGTTCAAGTCTAATTTTAAAAAAAATAATAATAATAAATTATGTTTAAACGTGTATCCGACATGTCAAAAGTGCTCGACATAGTATCGAACATGGGCAATTACCTCCTCAAATGATTTTTATTTTTATTTTAATATTTTTAAAGGGAATGGTACAGATTAAGCCCTATCTAAGCAACCAACAAACGCCACTAAACCGTTAATTTAGTTACAGAAATAAAAACATTTATTATTCAAAGTAAATAAATGCACATAATTTGAACTATATATCCTGAAGCTTGGTGGTTGTTTGTTATTTTGTGTGATGCAGAATCAATGTGTGAACACGGAAAAATCTCATTACTCAGGCACTGTGAATGGAACAATCCATGTGGTGGTAGGCGGTGGAGGAAGCCACCTGTCAGAGTTCAGCTCACTGCAGACTCCATGGAGTCTTTACAGAGATTATGACTTTGGATTTGTGAAATTGACTGCATTTAATCACTCTTCACTTCTGTTTGAGTACAAGAAGAGCAGTGATGGAAAGGTCTATGACTCCTTCACCATCTCAAGGGACTACAGGGATGTCTTGGCCTGTGTTCATGATGGTTGTGAACCCACCACTTTGGCTACCTGATCTCAATATTCTATACTCTTTCTTCCATGACTACTGTGGTGAATATAGATGAAGACTATTGTGTTGAATATGTTTTCACCCGTATTGAAAATAATTATGGATGTGGTTGATTAGTCATTTTTCAATAAAAAATAAATCATTGTACGTGACACATTCTGTAGAATAGTGGCTCGTCCAGGTATCGTACCACAAAGATTAATGTGCTGAGTCATGCTGATTCGAATGATAATTCATAAATTAAATTGATTAAAGCTTGTGGATTTAATTAAACTACTAAACGTAAGATTATATTAATTAGCAAGTAAATTTGATATGTTCCAAATATAGAAAGAGTCTTAGGACTTTGAATCCGTCGTTAATTGAATATCACCTATGTTATGTATTTGATTCTAGAAATTCAATGGTTTGAATAATAATAATAATATATTGTGGTTAATTACCCAAAAAAATAATGTATCGTGGCTATAGGCTTTGATTTCGTCATTAAGAAGATAATTATATTCAAATTGCAATCACGAATTATACTCTGTCAACACTTATCATCTACACTAAACTAGGATTGCGACATATTCGTCTTCCTTAGGCTTGACTTATGTCATAGTTTTGTATATACAAATATGTAAAATAATTGTATGAACATGTGTTCTCAATCACAAAAATCGAACACATTAATTGAATAAAAGATTTTTAATAATCATATAACAATTATCAAATCTCAAAGAAATCAAATCAAAATACAAAATTGCAAGATACTCGACTATGGCTTCATTTCGATCCTAAGAAGAAATTTAGCTGCTTATAGAGAGAATAGAGTGGAATCTGCAAAAGTTAAAGAAACCATGGATGATGATTGGATGCACCTCTCTAGCTTCAAGCCATCTTTTCTAGGTTTTTAGATCCTTAGAAATGAGTTTTCAGCCTCCTTTCCACTCAATTTGTCGCAAGCACGCAAAACAAGGTAAATTTGCTTGTGCTGTCTAGATGGTTTGCACGAGCAGATCAAGTCATGGTCAATTCTTTTTAAAATTGAGCCATTTGCGGGACACATGATTTGTTCTTGGTCCATTTTTGGCTCTTTTTCACTCATTTGGCATACTTTTTAGCTTCAATACTAGAGGATGTTTGGGAAGAGCTTTTTTTTTTTTTTGGCTAAAATAGCACTAAAAGACAAAATAGGTTAAAATAGTCAATAAGATAAAATGTTGCATCGAACCCATAATCATTTCACTTTTTCTCTCACAAATATCATATCCAACTACAAAAAAATCCAATTATCTTCCTAAACACAAAAATTTTAACCTCCTAAAATAGCCTACTAAAATAGCAACTTCCCAAACACCCACTATATCAGCTTACATGACAAGGACTTACATGACAAGGAAAAATACTTTCATTATATCAAGTATTGATAGCTAAAGGACTAAAAACATAAGTTGGGGGCTTCGATGTGTAATATTTCGGCGCGGATCACACCATTCATCTTACACTTTGCTATTCGGCTCAGATCACACCATCCATCTTACACTTTGCTAGTCCTCAAGCAAAGAAAAGAAAACAACTTAGGTCACTTCCGTAAGGATCACGATTGCATTTATTGTATGCAACAAGCATTTTAAACCACAATATGAGGCATTAGGGCAAATGAAGCCTTTATCCAATAATTCTTGTAATTGTACCTTCAACTTGCGTAATTCTGCAGATGCAAATATATATTGTGTCATGGAAAGTGGTGCCATGCTTAACACTAGACCAATGGAGAATTCAAATTCTCGGTGTGGTGGCAACTCGAAAAGGTCTTCTAAAAAGATATCAAGATACTCACAAACTACCCTTGGTAAGGCATCACAAATCATGTTATCCTCATCGACTAAGGTAATGGTAAAAATAAAATTGAACTCGCCTCTACCTTCAAAGTCATACAATGGGGGAATGAATCTATCACCTCAGTTACCCAAGAAATAAAAGCAATTCGTATCCAAAGTATGCATGGACACCCTCATATATATATATATAATATATTATACACATATATGTTTTAATATGTTTTATTTAAAATGTTTATCAATAAAAAATTGGGTTAAAATTAAAATAGATTATGGTAAATTTATGGTTTAATTTTGCACTACAACACAAAACTGAGTTTTTACGACACCTATCAAACGACACACAAATCACAAAGCAACTTCGTATTTTTCAACTTTTATACTTTCTTTTTTTTTCATGTCGTAAATAATATCGCTAATCACGACATGTCAATGCCATACGCCGTTAATTCTAAATTTGATAATTTTTTACGGCTTGTTAATTGTTAGCCATAAATATTAGTTAACTTTCAAATGACACGCGGTAAGGCATGTTGTTAACTATGTTAAATATACACGACTGCATATGCTGCCGTTGAACATATTCACTTAACATGACATAAAAAATTTTCTGTCGTGAAGTCTATGACCCAAAAAAAAAAAAAAGCACAAAAAAAAAAAAAAAAGAACACTACGCAAACATCAAAAACACGTCATAAAAAAAATCAAAGTACATAAACTCTTGCATTCTTCTAATCAAATTAACAAAGGGTGTACAAGCCGTTTTGTGTTATGCTAAATTAATCTTAATTATCTTATAATTATGTGCTTGATATGATTAATTAAGGTGCTAATTATACGAGTATACTGTCTCTTTCCGAAATTTCTATCTGTCACCCATAAGAAAATCTGTCCTATTTTCTTTATAAATGAAAATTGAGGGTCGTCGGAGGCGCAAAAAACCGAAAATTGATTGTACCATTGCAATTAATATATTTTTAGAGCATAGGTGAATTTAATTAAAATTGTTAGGATGCAAATTAATTAGATTAAATTCATTAAGTTAGACACAATTAATTAGTTTTAATTAAGTTTGATTGGGAAGCATATATAAGAAGCTAAATGTGCTTAACTCATTTCAAAGAGCTCAAATCTAAAAATTACACTTCTAGAGTAGAGAGTGACCGATTCTAGAGAGAAAGAAAGAAAGCATCCTTGTGTATTTGGGAAGAGAGTCGAAGGAGAGAGAGAATTATATCAAGAACTAGCCAGAGCGTTTGGAAGAGAATGAAACTTCTAAGTAAGATTGAATCCAATAGTTTAAGCTGATATAATAGTGAGAGAAAGTTGAGTTTGTGGTGGCTAAAGATCATGATTGAGCTAAATGATAAGGAATGATCAAGAGTACTGCTGATAGAAATTTTGCTCAGAATCTTCATATTTGAACATAATACATTGTTAATGCATGTGGAATTAAGGGTTGTTTTGATCCATGCATGCATGAATTATACTACGTTTGAAAGTCCATATCTATTAGTCTCAAAGCTTGTAAATGCATGATAGTAGAACAAGGAACTGTAATGTATGAGTTTTACGGTTTCGATTTGTTAAATCTAGCAGCGAATTTTGAACTATGGTTGATTAACTTCAATATAATTTATTTGAGAGTGTTTTCATATTTGGGTGTTAAGCATGAATTGGGCCGCTTGAATGTGTGTTGTAGCTCAAACAATTCTGGAAAAC